ATCAGAGAAGAATTTACACATAGGCATTAACGCATGTTTATTTTTATATTGTGAATAAATAAAAAAACTAGACTCAATTGAATAAAAAAATAATAATAAAATAAATGAATAAAATTACCCAAAATGCATTTCTTTACAGTGTCCTTATTACATTCAGAACTGTGTTCATTGACATTCACCATCTATAATAAATCTATCTGCACTTGAAATGGAGCTGATGCCTTGTTACACAACGCTACAACTTTATGGTACTGCAAGCAGCCAACAGGCCAAACACTCAGCACCTCAACGCAAATATGGGAGTGATTAGGAGTTCTTTGAAACCGACAAGGTAATTAAAACAAGATAGACCCTGGTTCATCGTAAATCTTGCCTTTCACCACACACCTTCACAAACTCCCCTTGCTTCATTCTAGCGCTCTTCTACGATGAGCGCTCAGGATAGAGATGAGAGCGCTGAAGTGTAGCCAACCTTTCAACTTTCAGTCCGTGCAGAAGCTAAAGATTGTTCAAAAACGATAGCTGGAGGACGAGTGTTTCTTCACTTAGTGTTGGTCCATGTGGCGGGCCAATAGTGCCTTAAGGACTTTCTGAGAAAATACTTCTGTTCTTAGTGTCCTGCTGCGGTCGAAACTACTCCCTAGCCATTCAGGACGTTCCACTGGTCGCCCCTCGTCAATAAAAGTGAGAAAAATGAAACGGAGGACATCGTGCGTCACACTGTGAACATCTGCCGAACAGAGCCGCCAACGAACGCAGAAGCTGTCTTTGGTCCTCCTGTTTCGTACGTGCTATACGAAGCGATATGAACGTTTGCTGGGAAAACGGGGTCCGATGTTTATCCCGGGAGAGCTGTCGGAACATGAAAGGCCATAGCTCATTAAACTTAAGTGAAAATAAATGAAATGTTGTGAGTGACAACAGAAGAGGCATTTATGGACCGCCTTTGGTCTTAACCAACAAGTAAACTGTTGTGACCAACTGATTTTTGTTCTTTAATATCATGACCACAAGACTGGAGATGTTCAGTTTATTCCTGTATGGTCGCATTTGATTGGTTAACATTGTGGTAGGTTTATTGCTGTGACTGTGCTCTATAGATGCCACATGTCAGACTGATTAAAAATAAATAAATAAAATAACCAAACTCACTTTGAAGAACTACACTACCTGTATTAGAGACTGTATGAATGCGTTGGTTGCTGTTACGGTACTAAATCACCTTAGAGTGTCAGTTACTACAAGAGATGTCCAGTGACCAAGAGAGTAATGAAACAGGCAGTTGTATCTCAGTTTTATCAATTTAGTCTTTTAGAGGCTGAGTATCAAGAGATCAACTCCATATACTCACATACTCATGATTTAAAGAGATCACATAAGTGCAAATAAACATCCAAATAAGGAGCATAGGCCTACACAAATAATAACTGAAAACAAATAGTTACAACAGATTTAGACCTCAAGGATACACAATCTTGCAATTATGCAGGGAGAAACAATGAGTACAACAGTCCTGGTTGATTTTCACAGTCGCAGGAAACATTCAGATGTATGGTTAACAGTGAACTTGGGCGTTGAGCTGTAGTCTCGGGTCCACTGATGCACAATATCCGATGAGAATAAATGCAAAGGTCCACAAAATGTCTATGAATGTTTGTTACTGCAAACGGATCTTGTTCGTGTGGTGTTCTTGTCGAGATCGACTGACTACCTTCTCAGATCGAAAAGGAAGAGTATCCAGTTGCCAAAGCTTTTCAACCTGTCCAAACAACTCAGCCTCAGGAGAGACACAAGAAATGAAGAGGCATTCTTGAGGCTGCAAGTAAGGCTTAAGAAGCCTCGATGGACCTTGTAATGTCCATCCAAGCTTTGTGTGAACTGCTGCTGGTCCTCCAGGGGGCCCCAATCTGACTGGCTCCACAGGCATGATTAAGTGCGGATAGTCTGATCCAACAAGCACCAAGGGCTGTGCTCTGTTGACATCATGCAAAGGCAAATCTTGAAGATGGCGGTATCTTCGTTGCAAATCAGAGACAGGATAAGTATGCTGAACCAGATTTAACTCTTTAGCGGTGAATGCACCCTTAATCTGGTACGATCTGTCAGGGTACGAAACCGGAGCGATGGAGAAGGATACAGATCTTCCATGAATGGTATGCACCTCTTGTCTTACTGTACGAAGAGCAAGATCCTCCATTTCACCTTGAAGGCCCAGACGTTGAGCGGCTTCATTCAGCAAGATAGTTCGCTCAGATCCGTCGTCTAGCACAGCATAGGTTTCCAGTGACTTATCACCATTCTGAATAATGACTCGACTTAACTTAAGCAGCACTTGCTTGCTACTCGTGGGCCGATCCAAATATAAGGTCTGAGCGGCGGGACTAACTGTGCTTGTGGGTTTCTCTGACACCTTGATGTTGCCTCTACTCTGTATATCTGTGCTGGCATTAACATCATGGAGAACATCGAGATGCCTTCTCTCACATCTTTTGCACTTTGCCTTCAATGTGCATTTGGATGATGAATGCCCTCGTCCACAGCGCCAACATCTGTTGCCTGTCCTAATCCAACTTTCAATCTGCTCCTTAGTTAAGAGTTTGAAGTTGGAGCACTGATTCATGTAGTGCTGAACTGTGTCACAGAACGGACAATACTTCTTAGGCTTCTCCTGTGGTCTGTCTGAGTCTGCTTGTCCAGCCTTCGGATTCTCTACTGCTCCTACTCTCTGCTCTCCGCCATAAAGAACAGTAGTCAGCTTTCGGGGCACAAAGCCAGTTCGCTTGTCTTTGCGAGCACTGCATTTCTCATGTTCAGGATAGGCGCCATACTGGGTTCCTTCAACCTGCACACGAACCTCGTACTCCAGCCAGTCTGCGAAATCCAGCAGCGTTGGGATTGGAGTATGAAGAGGGTTAACAAATCTCTTAAAATTAGCTCTTAGGTCGCTTTTAATATAAAGAACATGAACTGAACATGGCTTTTTTACACTACCCATAATCTTGACGAGAGGATCCACCAATCAGAGTCACTGGAATGGAAATGAACATCATGCCAACAAACAAACAAATGAACTGTAAATGATGCGAGTCACTCTGCTACATGGCACTACTGTTAAAAAGTTTTCAGTGTCACATGACCCTCCAGAAATCATTCTAATTAGGCTTGCCACGATAGACGGTGTTGACGGTGATACCGGTGTTAAGCCGCAACACCGGTTACGTCAAGTGCAATCCGACTCTTATAAAAGTGTACGATTTGTAGGTAAAACTTCATGTGAAGGTTTATCCTAAACTTAACCCTCAGAGCGGTGCAAAAACATCGTACAAAAACATAGAAATGAGACTGTAAGATCAACCATTTCACCAAATCATGAATAACTCACGATCGAGGCATCTGACGTGTGCCAAAATGCTCTCATGACAGCGAGGCTGCAGTTTACAGAGTCACAGTTGCAACATCTCAGCTCATGTCTAAAAAGTTAGTTATATTTTTTTATATGTGAGAGATTAATGTGTGAACACACTGACAGAATAATCTCATACAGAATATATGATTTTAATCATATTTCTGAATCATGTTTTTTATTAAACTAAAAATAGAAAGCAAAAATTGGATTATTTGTTCATCTTCATGTACCAGCAGCAATATTTCAAAATAATCCACTTCACTGACAACAAAGAACATGAACATAATATTTTCCTCTGGCCTGCTATGAGACGTGGGAGCTGTCAGCTCTTTTTTCACTCCTTTCCTGACTGTAACACCTACTCTCAAGTACATTAAAGCTGAGGCGTCTCAAACAAGCCTTATAATAAACCAACTATAACCATATGTAAGTACAAGCAGCTCCATCAAATATTTACACAAGCAAATGTAGTTCATTAGTATTAAACCATAAGCACTTGGGTAAATAAACAGTAAAATGAACAAAGTGAGAGTCTGTTTTCCTCTAAGAGTGGATGAAGAGGCGTCTGGCACAACGGCGACAATCAATTCCAGAGATGCAGTCATCCGACAAAAATTTGATCAAATTATCTAAAAAAAAAAAACCTCTCCATGAATAATTGTGTAAAATAAACAAAGTTTTGTATGTTTGTATACACTGGTCAAACGTATGTACCGGTCAAACAAATGTTTGTATGCACTGGTCAGTCCTTTCTCAAACATCATTACTCTCAGCAGAGGAGTGGGAACAGATATGACTGGACGAGACTAGAACAGCCACACAGGCATAACAAACCATGTTTTGACCCATCAGGGCAAATAAATACGATCATAAATAGAGTCTTAGTCTTTTTTAGTTGAGAATTAAATTAAATTAAATTACACTAAATTAACATTACATTTAATTGAATTAACATTACAATTTATTCAATAAATTAATGTGTAAAATTAAAAATAAATTAAAATAAATTAAATAAAAAAGACATTAAATAACACTGAATAAAGTGACATTCAATTATATTGTATTGAACTGCATTAAAAATAAAATTAAATCCAAAATTACATTGAAATAAATTCAATTAAATAACACTAACATTGCATTAAATTGAATTGAATTGAATTAATATAAAACTGCATTAAATAAAAAATAAATAGCATTAAACTGCACTGAATTATATTAAATTGAAATAAATTAAAGTTAAATTAAAAATCAAATCAATTAAATTAAAAATAAAATATAAATGAATTAAATTAAATTACACTTAATTAACCTTAATTGTATTAACTGAAAAATTGTACTGTGTTACACTGCATCAAATTAAATCATCTTGCATTAAATTGCATTAAATTAAATGGTATAAAATAGATAGTAAAACTGCGTTAAAATTCATTACATTACAAAAAAGTAAATTATGAAATTAAATTGTGAATTTTTTATCCTTCAACCTATTGTCATTGAGAAATTATAGGCAGCAAAGAATGAGGACACGGAAAAGCTTTAAGCTTATGATATAGCGAGTATAAAGAGCTCTACACAGTGTTAGAAATGGTGTTACCTGGTAAGGGACAATGCTCCCGTGGGCAGTTCCCCATCGTCTGGCTTCGATACCAGCGTTGAGGTAGTTGGCAGCGATGTGAGTTAGACAAGCAACCTGTAGACAAATTAAAGAAGAAAAAAGAAAATAGCTTTAAAGTCTTAAGAACTGTCAGAAGGCTCATTACACCCTGCTGTTTTGTGAGTTCAGCGAACTTTTTCACGGCTGACACAGCAGTTCATGCGACTGTGCCGTAAAACCTTCCTCCAACGTTTGTTATTCTGGAAAATGAAGCAACAAAAACTTCAACAATTTTTAACAAACACCTAAGAAAGGCATATAGCATTTCAGCTTTACTGTAACAATCATCTTGGTTGATTAGGTCCCAGCTTTTTTACGATGCCCAGGTGACACCAGATCAGAAGCATGCAGCTGAGACAATATTTTGCGATGTACAACCATGCACTGAGAGGACAGAGGTGGAATACTTTGTCAGATCAAAGCCTGTCGGTGATGATTTAACAGTCTGCCCAACACCTTGAGCTGAACCTATTCTTCACTTCCCAGCTGCTTTATTTCCATGATGTCTTACGCTGAGGCTTTTGTTTACCGAAACTTTGGTTTCTGTGTTTAAATGACTGGAAACAATCTCATTTTTGTCTATATGCAAGCAAAAAATTATTTATTAGGTCAGCACTGAATCATATCGGTGATGTTTCTTAACTTTCTTCTTCAGTAAGCTCATTAAATGATTAGCAACTGGTCCAGAACTGAACCAGAGACGGTAAAAGCAGAAAAAGAGCAAGCTATAATCCGCTCGGATCATGTGCACCTCATAAGATAATCATACAAACTCAGGGTCAAATGTCAATATACTGTAGTGTGCACTTCAATATACTTGTCTTAGACATGCTAAGATGAAGCGTGCCTCCTCACAACCTGCTTACAGACAAAATATACTCAACTGATTTCAGGCATCAGACAGGACTTGCTGTTAACTGGTTTTGTGTATTAGACAAAACTCAGCAGACAGTTTTGGGATATCAGACAAAACAGATGTCTTCTGACAGGATCTGGTAAAGAAACCGGATCCAATATTGGATATATGGATATCGGCATGATCTAACGTTTTTGGCTTTGTAAAGAAATTTTAAAAATAGATTTTTTTTTTTTATGTATGCAACCAAACATTGTATTACTTTACACATGTCAAGTAACCACTAGATAAATTAATGCTACAAGTATTTGTTTAGCATTTTTAAACACGTCTGTTTTCAAATAACATGAATTTTTAGTAATTATATACAGAAATACACATTTAAATTGTGAAATCATGAAACTATAAACAATATAAACATTAATCACAGAAAATCACAAATACGTCATACATAACCCATAACTGACCTACCAGCGTCAGCTACACATTTATTAATATTTTAATAATATTTACGTTTATTAATTTGCTTAGTTTTCATTTTAACGTAAGTTTACATTTTAGTAATTTTGTTATGTGCTTTTCTCATTTTTATTAGGTGTTTTTTATTTCTATTTACCTTTTTTATTTTAGTTTTAAGTTCTTGTTTATTTAATATTGTTTATTTAATTTAACTTAAATGTATTATATTTCATTTAAACCAGAAATGCTTTTTAAGTCTAATTTGAGTTGAAGCTACAATTTATGATTCCATTTGTTGTCAAAATGTATTGATGTTATTATAATTATTAATTTATTTTCTTTTTTTACATAATTTCAACCAGTATGATTTGGAAATTTTAGTGGGGGGGGGAGATTTTTTAGTATTAAAGGGGTCCTATTATGCTTTTTCATTTTTAGAATTTTAGTCAGTGTGTAGTAGGGCTGTCAAAATGGCTGAAAAACTAAATTCGAATTTTGTACTTAAATATTATCAAAATTCAAATTATATTCAAATTTAAAATGCATAATTTCAGTTATGGTGAAGAAAAGCTTCTGGCTTCTCTTCTGAGGCCACAAGAGGGCGCATCGAGCAAAATATTACTAATGCCATTTATTCAAAGTGTAAGATAACATGACTGATAATCTGTGAAAAAAAAGTGCATAATCTTTAAAATAATGTTTATAAACCAATTATAATTAATTAGGTTGCTTAAACAACTATAAACAAAACAGCATCATGTTTGTATGCATAGTTTAATACAAAGGGCGGAAAGCCAATCACACAGAGTACATATTTCATTTAAAAACATGAGATACAGTGGGATGGGGAAAAAACCCCGCCATAAAGTCTCGATATATGTTTTTTTCAAAGTTAAACTTGCATTAATTTTACATGGCTTTCTAAACATGCGGCTCCCTTTTGCGAGATGCGAGTGTAATGGTAATAGATGTCCCTCTAGAAAATGCGTGAAATATGTGTTCTGTGTGAACGGCTTGGTTTCAGTTTTGATGTAATCAAGATCTTCTCCGCATTGATGTTCTCTTTTTCCGTAATATATTTAATGAACAACGCAGCAGTGCCGCATCTAGTGGCTTCAACTAGATAGGCTAACAAAAACATTATAATGCAACGACACTTACATCGCCATCGCATCTCGTATGTCACTGATAAGGCTGCCTCCTTAACGCACACCTACAAATCGAATGCAACGTTTTTGCATTTGAATGTGGATTTTTATTTTAAATTCGACGAATATTTGAAATTCTAAAAAAAATTTGAAAGCCCTAGTGTGTAGTGTGTATGTTTGGGCATAAAAAAGATCTACAAAGTTACAAATCTCAAAGTCCACTCCCCTAACGGAGATATTTCATTTTTTAAAAACTCCAACGAATGGCTCGTATGGAATACAGCGTTGTTTTCCGGGGTTTTTGTGATGTCATAAAGTGGCCCATTAGAATATCATTAAAATAAATCCCGCCTACGGAAATTCGAATGGTTGGGGGGTGGGGAGGGGCGAGGTCGTGGTTAGAACCATAGATATAAGTAGATGCCCTATTAGCGGCTGTTTCTATGGGCCACTATACGTAAGCCGTCCGCCATATTGGAATGTCCGTGAACACTCGAGAGCAAGTTGCCTTTGCATCTGCACTGTAACTGTAGTTACACGTATGAATATTTGTATCTTCAGTAGACTTCAGAAGATGCTTTTGCTAAACTAACAAAACAAGACGAAGCCGTTAACTAGCAAGGCATTTAAAAGGAACTTTAATTTAAAAACCTGTAATATTGAGTTGATACATATTAAAGCCAACACAATCTTACCTATGAAAGGTTATCTCGTTTCTTCAGGAATTTAAATTTAGGCGGTTTTACAACCAGATGCTGCACAATGTTGTTGCATTTTTGAAACTCACTGACTGTTATTGTGAGTGACGACATAGACCGTTCCAAGATGGCGAATGCGTCAACGTATCTGGAGCTGTCCAATGTGGCATCTATACATGTCTATGGTTAGAACGTTTGGTTGAGAGACGACGATAAAGAAGTGCTGCTGTAGTGTCAAGTTTTTGCAAGTTATTACACATGCACCTGAATAATTATGTATGTAAATATGTGTTACAATTATGAAAACGTTTTTATAAATTGCTGACAGTACAATACTGGACAATGATGTAATCTGCAGAATTTACACTTCAATTATGAGACTACTTGTTTCCCATACATTGATTTGTTTGTGGTGCCCGCCACAATATAAAAACTGACTGCCTCAAATAGATTTTCCAAAAGGCTTTGACTTCGTTGATTAAACATGAGCACTGTACGTTTCAATATCGAAACCCGGTGCGGGTGTTTTTATATCACTGCATTTCTGAAGGAAACTGACTGTCTTCAGAAAATTTTTAATGCCGTTTTCATTTCATCTTAACAGCCGTTACCGGGGAAACCTCGATCTCTACCACTCCAACAGCGCCTCCTGCCGGCAGAGACGATGAATTTGCATATATATGCCACCACAAATAGAGTGCAAGTCTGTGGGAAACACTATGGTATAAATAAATTCAACTGTATTTCAACAGTTTCACTGCAATTCATGTTATAATGTTAGAATTAAAGAACAATAAACATAATACATATTACCGTTGCACTTATCTGTACATAGTAAATGCAGTTATTTTTAAGCGGTTGTTGACATCCTATCTAAAATGTGATTTAGCCAAAAAAAAACAACAATAACGTTACCACTCTAATATGTCTTGCGATATCCGTGTGTGCAAAGGTTCTGCGCGATCCTCTTGTTCAATATTCTCGGGGTCTGAATCCAGCTCAAATTGATATGGCAATATTGATGCTAATCCTTAACTATACCGAAGCAGACGGAACTTGCTGCTTTGGCAAGGGGTGGGGCAGTACTGAAACACCGTTTAAGCTGTTCGCCAATCACAACGCACTGGGACAGCTAACCAATCACAACACATTTTGTTTTTCAGAAGGCGGGCCTTTATCAAACCAGGAACTAATCGAGCCATTTTTGTGCAGGCTGGGGAGAAAGGTATTGCAATAATGTAAATTATGTGAAAAATAATGTGTTTTTCGAACCACCAAGCATGAGAGCATGTTCTAGTACACCCCCAAAACAAAATCAAGACTTTGTAAAAGAGCATAATAGGACCCCTTTAAAGTAAAAGGGAGCTAAACATGTATGCCTTGAAAAGAGCTGCTTGGAGGCATTGGAAATAAGACCTTTGAGTGAACTGACTTGCCTTAAAGGAACTGAACTTAAAGGGGTCATATGATGCGATTTCAAGTTTTACTTTCTCTTTGGAGTGTTACAAGCTGAACTTACAACAGAACAGGAATGCATTTTATGGACGACCGTTTCGTGAACCTAGACTGACTTTGCTATGACAATCTGGCGCTTCTGAATCAGCTACTGTAAGTATGTTGAAAAGCATCATATGACCCCTTTCAGTTATTTCCCAGCAGAACCACTGCTGCCCTACAAACTCAAGAGGAGTCAACACTCTATCCAACACTTCCATTCAACAGAAACCTAGAGAAATGAATGAAGTTGCTATAATATCAAAGACAGAAAAGCCAAGTAGCATCTTATTACACTCACAGCACCTCATGTGTTGTTCTCACCACAGATCTTTAATTTAACATGTGATAAACGTTTACAGGGTAGCAAGAGGTCACTGG